AGTCATTGTTACGTCCAGTAACCAGTCATTGTTACATCCAGTAACCAGTCATTGTTACATCCAGTAACCAGTCATTGTTTACGTCCAGCAACCAGTCATTGTTACGTCCAGTAACCAGTCATTGTTACATCCAGTAACCAGTCATTGTTACGTCCAGCAGCCAGTCATTGTTACGTCCAGTAACCAGTCATTGTTACATCCAGTAACCAGTCATTGTTACGTCCATCAACCAGTCATTGTTACGTCCAGTAACCAGTCATTGTTACATCCAGTAACCAGTCATTGTTACGTCCAGCAACCAGTCATTGTTACGTCCAGCAACCAGTCATTGTTACGTCCAGTAACCAGTCATTGTTACGTCCAGCAACCAGTCATTATTACGTCCAGTAACCAGTCATTGTTACATCCAGTAACCAGTCATTGTTACTTCCAGTAACCAGTCATTGTTACGTCCAGTAACCAGTCATTGTTACATCCAGCAACCAGTCATTGTTACGTCCAGTAACCAGTCATTGTTACGTCCAGTAACCAGTCATTGTTACGTCCAGTAACCAGTCATTGTTACGTCCAGTAACCAGTCATTGTTACGTCCAGTAACCAGTCATTGTTACGTCCTTAACCAGTCATTGTTTACGTCCAGTAACCAGTCATTGTTTACGTCCAGTAACCAGTCATTGTTACGTCCAGTAACCAGTCATTGTTACGTCCAGTAACCAGTCATTGTTTACGTCCAGTAACCAGTCATTGTTACGTCCAGTAACCAGTCATTGTTACGTCCAGCAACCAGTCATTGTTTACGTCCAGTAACCAGTCATTGTTACGTCCAGTAACCAGTCATTGTTACGTCCAGTAACCAGTCATTGTTACGTCCAGTAACCAGTCATTGTTTACGTCCCAGTCAACACAGTCATTGTTTACGTCCAGTAACCAGTCATGTTTACGTCCAGTAACCAGTCATTGTTACGTCCAGCAACCAGTCATTGTTTACGTCCAGTAACCAGTCATTGTTTACGTCCAGCAACCAGTCATTGTTACGTCCAGTAATCATTGTTTACGTCCAGTAACCAGTCATTGTCACGTCCAGTAACCAGTCATTGTTTACGCCCAGTAACCAGTCATTGTTACGTCCAGTAACCAGTCATTGTTACGTCCAGTAACCAGTCATTGTTACATCCAGTAACCAGTCATTGTTACATCCAGTAACAAGTCATTGTTACGTCCAGTAACCAGTCATTGTCACGTCCAGTAACCAGTCATTGTTACGTCCAGTAATTATTGTTTACGTCCAGTAACCAGTCATTGTTACGTCCTAACCAGTCATTGTTACGTCCAGTAATCATTGTTTACGTCCAGTAACCAGTCATTGTTTACGTCGCATCTTTGTCTGGTAGCTTCAGAGTGGGAGGAGATCTTGTGGAAGTCGGAAGAGAGAGAGAGAGAAGAACAAGTGGAAGGAAATCGGAATAGGATGGAAAGACTTTTACGGAAGTAAACGGATAAGAGACGGGTGCCATGATTTAATGATCCCAGATAAAATATCTCCAGTTTCTAGGGCAGGACGACCTTAGTACAGCCTCCATACGTCATAGTATATATATTAAAGACTACATATATATCACACGGTATATAGAAGATACATATACATGTCACATGATATACACAACACCCGGTATAGATCACAGAGTGTGGTCGCCAGGTTGCCTCGAGTTTGTCCTGACTCAAGCGGTTATTTCTCTCTCTCTCTCTCTCTCTCCTCTCTCCTCCCTCTCTCTCTCTCCTCTCTCTCTTCTCTCTCTCCTCTCTCTCTCTCTCTCTCTCTCTCTCTCTCTCTCTCCTCCTTCTCTCTCTCTCTCTCTCCTCTCTCTCTCCCTCTCTCTCTCTCTCTCTCTCTTCTCTCTCTCTTCCTTCTCCTCTCTCTCTCTCTCTCTTCTCTCTCTCTCTCTCTCCTTCTCTCTCTCCTCTCTCATCTCTCTCATCTATCTCTCATCATATTCTCATTCATCTTCTCTATTTCTCATCTCATTCTCATCATTCATCTCCTCTTTCTCTCACTTCCATCTCTCGCATCATAGTGATCTCTAGCCACCACTTTTAAAGATACGACTTTAAATCTACCACTGACTCTCACCTCCTTCTCCTCCTCTCAAACACACTCTAAGCACCATAACAAAACGATAGTAAGTTAAAAACCGCAGTTTACAAGAGAACTTTAGATGTCTTACTACGTGGTAACGGACTAGGTCTTACTTGCCACACCCACAACACACATCACACACAACCTAAACACCAACACAACGACATCTACCAAACCCAACCTGACAAGCCCTCTCTCACACCATCTACATCTCTCCTCGTGTATCCATCGTGCTTCATTACCGAACACTACCTCTCCAACACACACTCTCACATGCAACCCTACTATAAGTCAACTAACATGACACGTTTAAAATAACTCTCATATTAAATACAGAGAACCTCCCCTTCCTTTCGGCAAAGCTCCTTAGTTGAGATACATTGACAACGTGCAGAACACTTGATGGTAGCATAGTAGCATCACACGACCAGCCCATCACACCACCACTACATCATACACACACACTAGGCCATCACCACACACAGGCCACTAGCCAGACTAGTCTCACCATACTACCATCTCACCAGACTACTTCACCACGACTACCGTCAGCTCTAGTCAGTACCACACTAGCACACTAGCCACTGACAAGCCAGTCTAGCACACGACAGGCCATCACACACACATCCACAGCACACACGACAGCCAGCACTACCATACACCAGTCTACCACACTAGCACTACCACGACTAGGCCATCTACCACTTAGGTCTACATGACTAGCCATTAGCTACAGCTATCTACCAGCAGGCTAGTCTAGCCATGACAGGCTATCTAGCCACACTAGGCCAGTCTAGCCACGACTATGCCATCTACCATGACTAGGCTCAGTCTAGCCATGACTAGGCATCTAGCCGACTAGGCCAGTCTAGCCCACGACTAGGCCTACCGTCTACCATGACTAGGCCTCTGCCACGACTAGCCAGTCTAGCCACGACTAGGCAGTCTAGCCACGACTAGCCAGTCTAAGCCATGACTGGCTCAGTCTACCGACAGGCAGTCAGCCATGACTAGCTCAGTCTGCACTAGGCCTGTCTAGCCAGACTGATCTAGCACGATATAGCTCCAGTCTAGGCACGACTAGTCCATCTAGCCAGACTAGGCCAGTCTAGCAACACTACTCTAGCTCTGACTAGGCTAGTCCATAGACGACTAGGCCATCTAGCCACGACTAGGCCAGTCTAGCCAGACTAGCCAGTCTAGCCACGACTAGGCCAGTCTAGCCACGACTAGGCCAGTCTAGCCATGACTAGGCTCAGTCTAGCCATGACTAGGCCAGTCTAGCCACGACTAGGCCAGTCTAGCCACGACTAGGCCAGTCTAGCCATGACTAGGTCAGTCTAGCCACGACTAGGCCAGTCTAGCCATGACTAAGCCAGTCTAGCCACGACTAGGCCAGTCTAGCCACGACTAGGCCAGTCTAGCCACGACATGGCCAGTCTAGCCACAACTAGGCCATTCTAGCCACAACTAGGCCAGTCTAGCCACAACTAGGCCAGTCTAGCCACAACTAGGCCAGTCTAGCCACAACTAGGCCAGTCTAGCCACAACTAGGCCAGTCTAGCCACAACTAGGCCAGTCTAGCCACAACTAGGCCAGTCTAGCCACAACTAGGCCAGTCAGCCACAACTAGGCCAGTCTAGCCACAACTAGGCCAGTCTAGCCACAACTAGGCCAGTCTAGCCACACTAGGTCAGTCTAGCCAAAAACAAGGTCAGTCTAGCCACAACTAGGTCAGTCTAGCCACAACTAGGCCAGTCTAGCCACGACTAGGCCAGTCTAGCCACACTAGGTCAGTCTAGCCACAACTAGGTCAGTCTAGCCACAACTAGGCCAGTCTAGCCACAACTAGGCCAGTCTAGCCACAACTAGGCCAGTCTAGCCACAACTAGGCCAGTCTAGCCACAACTAGGCCAGTCTAGCCACAACTAGGCCAGTCTAGCCACAACTAGGCCAGTCTAGCCACGAATGAAACACCTACCAAGCTGGGAGATGGTTGTGAGTAAAAAAATCTCGTAATTCTTTTCCTCACATTAAATACTGAAACAGTGTGTAGATAATTAGCTAAATCGGTCATATCCAAATGAATAAGTAATTAGTCACTCGAGAAGCTACATAAATAATAATGTTAATGATTATTATTATTATTATTATTATTATTATGATATTCACGAAAAGCTCTGAACCAGTATGGTTAGATAGTGTTCATGCTTATTTCTGCGTTTTAGGGTCTTTAAAAAAATAACAATGGTCAAATCAAATATTTTATTTTACTCTCACTTATTACTACCACAGGGTACTACCGCGGGGTACTACCACGGGGTGCTACCACGGTGTACTAGGGTACTACCACAGAGCCAGTAGTAGAATTACCAGCCTTCATTCTGTCTACCTCAGCTTTGCCTTTAAAAAAGCTATGGAGCATATATATATATATATATATATATATTATATATATATATATATATATATAATATTATATTATATATATATAATATATATATATGTGTGTGTGTGTGTGTGTGTGTGTGTGTGTGTGTGTGTGTGTGTGTGTGTGGTGTGTGTGTGTGTGTGTGTGTGTGTGTGTGTGTGTGCATGTAAAAAATATATTCACCGAGCGTCTTAAAAGCTGTACGAAGCAACTTATACAAAATATACATATGAAGAAATGATGAATAAACTGAATAATGTAGGATATACATGAAGAATGGATGTGTTTTGTTTCTCAGGAACGCACCTAGGAGGTAAGGATATTAAAATACTCTTTTTTGTTATGTATGTCTGCCACTCTCAGTTAAATACTGTGTTGTACGTCTGTCTACGGTTTGAAGGTTGAACTATGTTGATGTTTGTCTGTCTCTCTGTCTGTCTCTCTCTCTCTCTCTCTCTCTCTCTCTCTCTCTCTCTCTCTCTCTCTCTCTCTCTCTCTCTCTCTCTCTCTCTCTCTCTCTCTCTCTCTCTCTCTCTCTCTCTCAAAGGTCCACACCAGTCATGCGTCCTCACACCTGTCATAACATCAATACACCTGAAAATACCTACACACGAAATATCCACACCTGTCCCATCTACTTTCTACGACTTCCTCGCTCCAGCCTCGCTACCACATCACTCCGCCTCTATCTCGGACACGAGCGAACCCATCTCAATGACGGGGACTTTAGCGAAGCTCATGGTCTCTTGGGGCCCCTCGTGGCCATTGGCATCAAGACTGTCGTCGCCTTTCATCCCCAGAAACGAGCCATTGTTCATCTCTGGGGACGACTGACCGTTACTGAGTTGTTTGTAGACGGCCACGTCGTTATTGGTGATCGAGGCGGTCGTAGCGGCGCGGTAGTGACGGGAACAGAAGGAGGCGATACGGGTACAGGCCTCTCGTAGCTGTTCTCCGGGTACCGTCAGAACCAACCTCACGTAGTTATGGTAGTCGAAGCACTGTCATTGGGAGACGAAGAGGGTTGATAAAAGATTAGATTTATCTAAATCCACTTGGGCCTTATCTAAATTTATTTGGACCTTATCTAAATCTGCTAGGGCTTTATCTAAATCCAACTAGGCCTCATCTAAATCCACTTGGTACTTATCTAATTTACTTGGGCTTATCTAAATCCACTTGAGATTTTGGTAAATCCACTTGGGCCTTAGGTAAATCTAACTGGAAAGTGTGATCATGTTACATTGGGAAATGACATGACTTCAACATGGCTTAAGAACTCAGAACAGACACATAGAAACAGGAACGATTTATTATAGAAGCGAAATATAATTCTATTTAAAAGTGTTTTAGAAAATTAGATGCAATTTACTACAAGAGAGACAGACTGACTAAGCCAGGAGGAAGTGAAGCCCTAGTACAGGCCAGTTTAAGAGGCAGGAGTTGTCAGGGTCTGTGACTCAACCTCAGCAACCCCTCGTAGGTGAGCACAAATAGGTGAGTACCTTCACACACACACATGGTAGCAGATGAGTGATGGTAACATGATGGGTAGCGTGGATAAAGTTGCTCGACCTTGGTGGTGACACAACTTACCTTGTCTGGAAGAGACAAGACAGACTCATCCTGTCAGGAAGACATAAGACTTACCTTACCAGGAAGACACAAGACACAAGACTCACCTTACCAGGAAGACACAAGACACAAGACTCACCTTACCAGGAAGACACAAGACAAGACTCATCTTACCAGGAAGACACAAGACAAGACTCACCTTACCAGGAAGACACAAGACAAGACTCACCTTACCAGGAAGACACAAGACAAGACTCACCTTACCAGGAAGACACAAGACAAGACTCACCTTACCAGGAAGACACAAGACAAGACTCACCTTACCAGGAAGACACAAGACAAGACTCACCTTACCAGGAAGACACAAGACAAGACTCACCTTACCAGGAAGACACAAGACAAGACTCACCTTACCAGGAAGACACAAGACAAGACTCACCTTACCAGGAAGACACAAGACAAGACTCACCTTACCAGGAAGACACAAGACAAGACTCACCTTACCAGGAAGACACAAGACAAGACTCACCTTACCAGGAAGACACAAGACAAGACTCACCAGGAAGACACAAGACAAGACTCATCTTACCAGGAAGACACAAGACAAGACTCATCTTACCAGGAAGACACAAGACAAGACTCACCTTACCAGGAAGACACAAGACAAGACTCACCTTACCAGGAAGACACAAGACAAGACTCACCTTACCAGGAAGACACAAGACAAGACTCACCTTACCAGGAAGACACAAGACAAGACTCATCTTACCAGGAAGACACAAGACAAGACTCATCTTACCAGGAAGACACAAGACAAGACTCACCTTACCAGGAAGACACAAGACAAGACTCATCTTACCAGGAAGACACAAGACAAGACTCATCTTACCAGGAAGACACAAGACAAGACTCACCTTACCAGGAAGACACAAGACAAGACTCACCTTACCAGGAAGAAACAAGACAAGACTCACCTTACAAGGAAGACACAAGACAAGACTCATCTTACCAGGAAGACACAAGACAAGACTCACCTTACCAGGAAGACACAAGACACGACTCATCTTACCAGGAAGAAACAAGACAAGACTCACCTTACCAGGAAGACAGAAGACAGACTTACCTTACCAGGAAGACAGAAGACAGACTCCTCTCTAATCATGGTCTCAACAAACTCAAGGTCACTGGAGAAGTGCTGGAAACCAGCCATGTCTACACCAACCTGGGGAGAGCAACACGACAGTTACCAACTCATACGGGCTATATAGCGCTTGGGAAGGGGGGAGGTAATCATACTTGATCCAAGAAGAGGATAGCTAGAGATCTTTGGATCAGCATCTTATCACCAACATGCAGACTTGCTTGGAAGACTCGTTCAGTGTTGGGCCGCAGAATACTGGAGAACCAATTCATTCTTGACTGTCAATATCACACACTGAGAGGAGAGTTTGTTGGTTGACCTGGTCTGGGATCGGGCCACGGGGGCGATGCCCCCATCCCCGAGTGGGCAGACTATAGCTGCCCACCATGGTATGGTCTGCCTGTTTTAAAGAAAACATTATTTCTTGAACGACTGTTAGAACGTGTGAAATGTATCACTAATAATATCAGCACACTTATTTTCCTACGTTCTTCTTCGTCTTCGTCTTCGTCTTTGTCTTTGTCTTTGTCTTTGTCTTTGTCTTTGTCTTTGTCTTTGTCTTTGTCTTCGTCTTCGTCTTCGTCTTTGTCTTTGTCTTTGTCTTTGTCTTTGTCTTTGTCTTTGTCTTTGTCTTTGTCTTTGTCTTCGTCTTTGTCTTTGTCTTCGTCTTCGTCTTCTTCTTCTTCGTCTTCTTCTTCTTCTTCTTCTTCTTCTTCTTCTTCTTCTTCTTCTTCTTCTTCTTCTTCTTCATTTTGAGTTACATTATTTTACAGAAGCTGAAGTTAACGCATGTGAGGGGCTCGAACAGCGGTCCGTAAATTGACAGACGTTCTACCGTCTAGGCAAACCAGGGCCTCTAATAGTTGCTTATTACAACTTACTTTGAGTTCTTAGATTAAATCTGAAGAAAGGAGATTGCACTCAGCACAACGGAGATGATCAGTAGTTGTCTTGCAATACGGATTGTTCGAGAGACGAGAAATGGGTACACGAGGGCACAGTTAAATATTAGACAGAAATGAGTCACAGTAATGTTAGGAAATATTTGTTTAGCCTCAGAGAGGTCAGGAGGTGGAATGACTTGGAAGAGGATGCGGTAGCGGAGGGATCTATAAACATGACGGTGTTTCACCATGCCAGGAAAGAGTGAACCTAGAAATGGCCAGTTGAGAGGCGGGGACAGGAGCTGAGACTCGACTCCTTACAACCACAAATAAGTTGGACACACACACACACACACACACACACACACACACACACACACACACACACACACACACACACACACACACACACACACATACACACACACACACACAAAGAGACCTGGACAGACTGGACACCTGGTCCAGCAACTGGCTTTTCGAATTTAATCCCTCCAAATACAAAGTCATGAAGATAGGGGAAGGGCAAAGAAGACCGCAGACAGAGTATAGGCTAGGTGGCCAAAGACTGCAAACCTCACTCAAGGAGAAAGATCTTGGAGTGAGTATAACACCGAGCATGTCTCCGGAAGCACACGTCAACCAGGTAACTGCTGCAGCATATGGGCGCCTGGCAAATCTGAGAACAGCGTTCCGATACCTTAATAAGGAATCGTTCAAGACACTGTACACCGTGTATGTCAGGCCCATACTGGAGTATGCAGCACCTGTTTGGAACCCGCACTTGATAAAGCACGTCAAGAAACTAGAGAAAGTGCAAAGGTTTGCGACAAGGTTAGTTCCAGAGCTAAGGGAAATGTCTTGTGAAGAAAGGTTAAGGGAAATCGGCCTGACGACACTAGAGGACAGGAGGGTCAGGGGAGACATGATAACGACATATAAAATAATGCGCGGAATAGACAAGGTGGACAAAGACAGGATGTTCCAGGGAGGGTACACAGAAACAAGAGGTCACAATTGGAAGTTGAAGATACAGATGAGTCAGAGAGATATTAGGAAGTATTTCTTCAGTCATAGAGTTGTCAGGCAGTGGAATAGCCTAGAAAGTGACGTAGTGGAGGCAGGAACCATACTTAGTTTTAAGACGAGGTATGATAAAGCTCATGGAGCGGGGAGAGAGAGGACCTAGTAGCAACCGGTGAAGAGGCGGGGCCAGGAGCTAGGACTCGACCCCTGCAACCACAAATAGGTGAGTACATACACACACACAGACCAGGACCTGTTTTCTGACGTCACAACCGTGCCCTCACTCTCTTATTTGGTCAAATGACTGGATGACATGTATTCTAACTGGCTTGCTTGCCTGCTTGCTTGCTTGCTTGCTTGCTTGCTTGTTTGCTTTCTTGCCTGCTTGCTTCTACAGATGCACAGAAATTGCTGAGTGATCTTTTGATTATACACACACACACACACACACACACACACACACACACACAACATAACATTTAATGTTACACACATCAGGTCTTCCCTGAAAAGTGAGGTGAGGTACTGGGGACGTCTGTCATTATAATCACTGTTGGTGAAGCATCAACTACTACTATTGTTTTTAATATCTTGTAATATGCAGTAAACTCTTATATACAGCTTCTCTACATTGTACAACTAAGGAAGTCCATCGATTATGTATTATGTAGGCCTTTCAACCCAGGTTTTCAACTTCGGACGTCCTAGTTTTCAATCGTATTTACGAAAAAATGTCTTTTGTAGAGAGGCCCAGAGCCAGATTAAGAGTCTGTAGGCCCCTGGGCTACAGGTACTGTGAGGCCCCTGGTCTACATGTACTGTGAGGCCCCTGGGCTACAGGTATTGTGAGGCCTCTGGGCTACATGTACTGTGAGGCCCCTGGGCTACAGGTATTGTGAGGCCTCTGGGCTACATGTACTGTGAGGCCCTGGCTACAATATGTGGCCTTGGGCTACATGTACTGTGAGGCCCCTGGGCTACAGGTATTGTGAGGCCCTGGGCTACATGTACTGTGAGGCCCCTGGTCTACAGGTATGTGAGGCCTCTGGGCTACATGTATCTGTGAGGCCCCTGGGCTACGATTTGTGAGGCCCTTGGGCTACATGTACTGTGAGGCCCTGGGCTACAGGTTGTGAGGCCTCTGGGCTACATGTACTGTGAGGCCCCTGGGCTACAGGTATTGTGAGGCCTCTGGGCTACATGTACTGTGAGGCCCCTGGGCTACAGATATTGTGAGGCCCTTGGGCTACATGTACTGTGAGGCCCCTGGGCTACAGGTATTGTGAGGCCTCTGGGCTACATGTACTGTGAGGCCCCTGGGCTACAGGTATTGTGAGGCCTCTGGGCTACAGGTGCTGTGAGGCCCCTGGGCTACAGGTATTGTGAGGCCCCTGGGCTACATGTACTGTGAGGCCCCTGGGCTACAGGTATTGTGAGGCCTCTGGGCTACAGGTGCTGTGAGGCCCCTGGTCTACATGTACTGTGAGGCCCCTGGGCTACAGGTATTGTGAGGCCCCTGGTCTACATGTACTGTGAGGCCCCTGGTCTACATGTACTGTGAGGCCCCTGGTCTACATGTACTGTGAGGCCCCTGGTCTACATGTACTGTGAGGCCCTGGTTTACATGGGACTGTGAGGCCCCTGGTCTACAGTACTGTGAGCCCTGGTCTTAATGTCTGTGAGCCCTGGTAACATGTATGTGAGGCCTGGTCTACATGTACTGTGAGGTCCCCTGGTTACATGTTACTTAGGCCCTGGTTTACTGTACTGTGAGGACCCCTGGGTACATATTGTGAAGCCTTTGGGCCTCAGATACGTGAGGCCCCTGGGGCTACAGGTACTGTGAGTCCTCCATTTATGGTTCAAGGAGAGAAATTATCCAACAGCATGTGTTCATCTGTACATGATGTAATAACAAATTCTCATTATAAGCTTACAGTAGTAACTGTGAACACTTTTCACCTTCTCCCTGGCAGCCCTGCAGCTGGCGGAGGTGGCTGGGCTGCAGCCCCTGGAGGCCTCCAGCTGGCGGAGGTTCCTGGGCTGGAGGCCCTCCAGCTGGCGAAGGTCCCTGGGCTGGAGGCCCTTCAGCTGGCGGAGGTGGCTGGGCTGCAGCCCCTGGAGGCCTCCAGCTGGCGGAGGTCCCTGGGCTGGAGGCCCTCCAGCTGGCGAAGGTCCCTGGGCTGGAGACCCTTCAGCTGGCGGAGGTCCCTGGGCTGCAGCCCCTAAAGTCCCTGCCTTAGTCTAGCCCTATGTAGGGGAGGTTTATTAAGAGTTCAGTATATTCGCTGTATAGAACACTCTTAGATATGTTAGCTCTTTCTGGGTATTAATGAGAGCTCTTGCTCATCTCTTGTGCAACATTGTGCAAGTCTAGAATGTTGATGTGGTGTTGCATGGGGAGACCCAAGGACAGAGAGCAAGGGTAAGATGAGACTGGTCTGTGGAGACTATGAAAGGGAGGGGTGAGGTAAGAGAGGGTAAGGGAGAGACGAGGAAGAGTCGGCTAGATTTTAGACCTTTTCTTTTTAATTTGGCAAAACTGGAGACATCAGCAGTGGTGCTAGTCTCTTCTGAATGATAATTACAGTGGGAACGATAGCAATGTTCTTCCTGTCATATTCACCCACACAGGATGGGCCACACATATACCGTAGAGTGCAATAATCGCGAACAAGCGATACAAAATGCAGGACAACCACGGAAGGAGTTGAATGATAGCTCTAGGCCTTTCGTGTTGTAATCAATACATCATCAGGAGCTTACAATGTTGCAGAAAAAGGAGGAATTCCAAGCAAATACGTTTAGAGGAAGCGTGTCTGCTAGAACAAAGGCGCTTTCTCTGAACGTATTTGCTTGGAATTCCTCCTTTTTCTGCAACATTGCAAGCTCCTGGTGACGTGGTGATTGCAGCACGAAAGGCCTAGAGCTAACATTCATCCTTTCCCCCAATCTAACGTGATTGTTTGCATACCGAAGAGAGTTGAAATGTGTGAGGCTGTGCTGGGAGACTTCAATAGTGCAGTGAAGGTATGGTCAAGTATTTAAGACGAAGGAATAGCGGAGAAGAAAAGTGTTAAACGAAGAAAAGAAAGGGAGGTAGAGGAAGGGACTTGAGGTGGTGATTGACAAGTAGAAGAGAAGTCACGGGGCTCTTTTTAATTTAAAAAA